TGTTAATATGGTGTGGGGAAAAAATGTATGAAATATATATGATTCGTATGTAACAAAACTTATAATGAAACTGAGAAACGTCTGTCATGTGTGTTATGTTATACTGTGTACCCTTAATAATTACATGTACGAAATCAGTAACATTGATTGTTGAGCGCGTGCGTATGTGCGAGAGGTATATGTGATAACATGTTGTGGGTGGTAGATGTGCGTGTACGCTTGAGTGTGTGTGCGTGTGTTGAGTGTGTGAGCGTGTGTTGAGTCTAATGGCGCTTGTGTGAATTTGGAAGAGCTAACACCGTCGTTGAATGATAACAAGCGAGAAACGGGAAGTTTATTCAATTATTATTTTTTATCAGGAATACCTGTCAAACTACAAACAACTTTTTGTTTTAAGACCCTGCTGTATGCAATTAATGATAATAATAGGCCTACTAATCTGCTTTTATATAGCGCCCAATGCATCAAATTACATCTCATAATATGGTAAAACGTGAGATATGCAAAGCATGAATAAAGACATAGTGAAATATAAATATGAGTTAACAATGAACTGTTATGAAACAGTAAGAATAGTGAAATAAATGAAATAAAATAATGTAAGATATCCCAATTTTTCCTATTAAATTATAAATCACTCGATTTGCTGAAGATCCACAGCCTATACTAATTAATTTTCTTTCTTACCCAAATTAATTGCCTTCCAACACCCAGTCAAAATTAAAAAAATATCTGCAAGAAATTATTCCTAATAAGGATGTTTGTTTCCTGATCGAAATCTTTAATAAATTTCTATTATACGACATGCTCCGCCTTTATTTTCAAAGGGCTTTATTCTGTAAAAATATGGGATTTAAAGGGCAGTCCAACCCTTGTGATTTAACCATAAACTGTTAAGAAACCCGAATAATGGTGAAATTAAATGAACTAAACTACAATAAAGTAAGATATTAACAACAATTTTGTCTATTAATTTGTAAAACGATCATTCATTTGCTGAAAATCCACAGCCTGTGTTAATTCATTTTCTTTCTTGCCACAATTTATTGCCTTTAAAACCCCGTCAAGATTATTAATAATAATAAATGGATTTATTCAATCATCATCGCAGCTCGAGAGCTGAATTACAAATGATTTTACAATAACAAGTGCATGAGCTTAATTAATTACAAATGGCGTAAAACAGAAACAAAAATATATCTTCATAATAATAATAATAGAAATATCACATTAGAACAGGAAAAATGTATCTATCCCCTTGAAAGGGAAGTAGAAAAGGAGAAGCCGAGTTCTTTATTAATAATTAAGTATATAAATCGAGGTAAATGTTGAAGATTACAACAATAGTTCAATAATATATATAATAAAGGGCAATCCAACCCTTGTGATAACTTCTCAATGATCCTCAAGAAAGAAGAGAAACAGAAGACGAAACATGGAAAGTTTTAAATACATTAGGCCTATAATAAGGGACTTATGAATGTTTGAAATAAGGCCTATAATAAGGGACTTATGAATGTTTGAAATTAGGCCTATAATACGGGACTTATGAATGTTTGAAATTAGGCCCATAATAAGGGACTTATGAATGTTTGAAATTAGGCCTATAATAAGGGACTTATGAATGTTTGAAATTAGGCCTATAATAAGGGACTTACGAATGTTTGACATTGGGTCTATAATATGGGACTTATGAATGTTTGAAATTAGGCCTATAATACGGGACTTATGAATGTTTGAAATTAGGCCTAATACGGGACTTATGAATGTTTGAAATTAGGCCTATAATAAGGGACTTATGAATGTTTGAAATTAGGCCTATAATTATAAGGGACTTATGAATGTTTGAAATTAGGCCTATAATTAAGGGACTTATGAATGTTTGAAATTAGGCCTATAATACGGGACTTATGAATGTTTGAAATTAGGCCTATAATACGGGACTTATGAATGTTTGAAATTAGGCCTATAATAAGGGACTTATGAATGTTTGAAATTAGGCCTATAATAAGGGACTTATCAATGTTTGAAATTAGGCCTATAATAAGGGACTCATGAATGATTGAAATATGAGCTCTCTGAATCAATGTGAATCTCAAATTGACAAATTGGTCAGTGGATTGTGACGTTGCTACGGGACAAGATCTCCCGTTTTTAGTGGAAAAAAAATGTCACTTTTTTCCAAAGTGCCTTCTCACCTTTGGGTACTACTATTTGGATGGAATGTCATTACAGGGTCTCTTTTTTGGGGAGAAAAAAAAAATCAGAGACACTTTCGTCACAATGACATATTAATCGATTCAGCAAATATGAAGTGCCCATACTTATAGGCCCGAATACACAAGGAGGTTTGTCGACAAACCTTGGTTTTCGTGCGTCATATGACGCGTTTCGACGCGTTTCGACGCGTTTTTACAAACCAAGTTTGTAAAAAAAAAAAACGCGTCAAAACGCGTCATATGACGTACATAAACCTCGGTTTGTCGACAAACCTCCTCTGTGAATTCGGACCATACTGATTGCAAATTGCCAAAATTCCGAACAGGCCTTGAAGGGCCATTTTACTACACAGCCTATTGTCTAACATTTTAAAATGATTGTCTGATAATGTATTATGTTTTCATTTCACAAACTTCAGAAGATGATCCCCAGGGCCATTGAAATTGTTTCAGTTTGATCTTTCGAAAACCTTCGCAACTGTGCTCTCTCTGCACTATTCCTTTTATTTCCCGTTACTCCCTCTTTATTCTGAAAACCACGTCATATTATACATATTACATACGTTTAAAGGGGAAGTCCATCCTGATATAAATTTGGATTATTAAAAGCAGAAGAACGAGAGAAACATAACAGTGAAAGCTTGAGAAAAATCCGATTAGAAATAGGAAAGTTGTGAATCTTTGAAGTTGTCATTAGTGAAACACAAACATTGGCAACACTGGGACGTAATATGCGAACTCCTAGCTGTAATTCGCTTCGGACAGGAAATTTCATAAACTATGTTTTTGTTGTTGTTATTTATGAAGGAATATAGCTGTTTCATTCAAGGGTTGAAACAAATTTGCGGTAATTGTATTTAGGGTGAATGTATTATTGAAAATATTTTTAAAGCCCAAGTCCACTCCAAAATTAACTTACTTTCAAAAGAAGCAGAAAAATCAGACTAACCAATCAAAAAAAGTCTGAGCAAAATCGGATAACTAATAACAAAAATGATTTTTTAATGACATTAAAATATTGGAAAATCACTAGACAAATTGGCAACTCACTCATGAGTCTGTGACGTCATGTCCTCACTATCCACTGATTACTTTCTTTATATTGATCTTATAAATTTCCTATTTTCTCCTTAAGAATCCTTTTTCTTCACACCAGCATCCAAGTTAGATTAATAGTAATATGTTTTTGTGTGGATGCACTAACATAGAGTAATTTTTTCCAGTTAAATCAAGAAAAATGTGAATTTTGATAAACTATTTATATCAAAATCAATAATTATGAATATATAATATTCAGAAAATAGTATAAATGCTTCAAAGTTCATAAAATATTCTGTGAAGTGTCATGCACGCAATATGATACAAATAATATAACCTGGGCAAATGCATGGGGAAATCAAGTTTTGGGGAATAAAAAGGGAAATTAATGGGATTAAACCATATAGAGCAATTGATCAATAGTGAGGACATGACGTCACAAACTGATAACCATCTTGTCAATTTGTGTCGTGATTCTCATTGTTCCATAGTTTTACATACTTTTTCAAAAATTCATATTTTTCTTATTAGTTATTAAAATGCCTAATTAATAAGACGTCACAGGGCATTCTACGTTCTCGTCGTGCAGAATCTAAAAGTTCCTATTATAAAAACGAACATGATTTGCTAAAATAAAAGAAACATCATTTTCAGGATACCATCCCTACGTTGTCATCAAGCGGGACTGACTACTTATAGATACTTGCGCCCTCTATATTGCCAACAATGCATAAGCGGTACCCGTTGATCCCCCATGGTCCCTTTTTTCTTATGTTAATTTAGAGCTGATTTGATGAGATAAGCACCTGCCAGTGACCACGCAGGAAGGCCTAATCCCTCCTGACCAAACTAGTGCAGATAGGCTTTAAATAATCTTATCCTCGTGTAAGTGAGAGAAATTCTTCTCTAGTCTTAGCGTCGTCTTTGAAGGACCCCAGCATAATAGATGTGATCGTTTTAGCTTGTTTCTGTACTCCTCTCAGCGTCATACACATGTGTCTATGTGAAAGGGGATTTCAAAAACACAAAATATCAAAAAGAAATTGAAGAACGAAATGGGAATGAAGAACAAAATGGAAATAAAGAACAACAATACGGCTCGTATAAAAAAGATTTCATTGAGAAATTAAAATTCATGAAAAAAATATTGAAAAATAACTAATTTAGTATAAAAACAGAAATAGTATTGTCTACGTACACGAATACACGGACGGCTCTAAGAGGGAGATGGTGTCCATCATTTTCTAAATGCAATTAATCAAACGCAATTTGATGCTGAAAAAACTTCGGCACCGACGGATTTTTGATAAAATGTGCAGTTGTGCCCCAATTCCCAGATATCTTAATGCAAACTCTTGCAAAAATACCAAGGAATAAGGTAATTATTTTTTAATTTTTGAGTAAATATTTATGTATCTCATATGAACACCTCTCAATCGATAAACTTTTAATTATGAGTTTGAAGTAATAAACCTGTTTACCGTCATCAATCATTGTTATTGTTGTTTGTGTTGTCGTATTTGTCTTTATTATTGTTCTTATCATTATGTTCATCATTATCTTTATTTTATATATTTCTTTTATTGTTATCTTCAAATTATTAAGCTCATGTGAACTTTTTTTTTTTAAAGTATAACTTTCCTTTTTTATAATCCTTTATGAACTGAAAGTTGAGAATGATCCTTCTTGGTTTGATTTTAATTATTAAATTGATTTCAGTTTTAATTTGAATGAAGTCATTACTTACGTGGCTTCGACGATGACGCCTACACCAGCCGGATCAATAGCCTGAGCCACTGCGAGGGCTATTTCTTTAGTCAACCTTTCTTGGGCTATGGGCAAGGATAACAAAGTATTGAAAATTCAGATCGCACCTAACCACTTAAGCAAAAACAAAAAAAAATTGTGCAGGAGCTGTAACCGTTGAAGAATAGTACTTTGTTAGAATAGTACTTTGTTATTATTCTTCTTTTTTAAATATTATTAAATTTTTTTCATTATTTTTTGTCTTCTTCATTCTTTTTGTTTGTTTGTTTTGTTTTGTTTTGTTTGTTTTTTGGGGGTGGGGGGGGGGGGGGAGAGGGTAGGGACATGGATTCTTGCGGTTATTTGTTTGCAGGCGCCTCCCTCTTTTTTGAGGGGGCATGAGAACTGCAATTATTTTGGCCAAGGAGGTGGGGGGCTACATTTATAAGACATTTTTATTGATTGCATGTTTTTTTCAATGATATAAAGAGCACTTTTTTTGTTCCCGGTAATCTGAACATTTGGCCGTCCGTTATTTCGTTCATTTAGAGGGGGGGGGGGGGGGGGGGGGGGGGCACCCTTTAGAACACACAATAATTTCTTTTCTTTTTTTAATTTAAAAAAATTGGGGGGGGGGGGTGCGACTCCCTGTGTATGCACATGTGTGTCACGTCGTTAATATCCTGCCCCATCAATATTTTTACCCGGTAAAAGCCGGCTGTCAAAAATATGTTGCGGTCGAGAATGGATTAATGTCTCTCCAAAAATAAGAAGTAGATGAGAAAAAACAAATACTGCCGGGCTGGGATTCGAACCCTCATCTCTTGAATTAATAGTCAAGTGAATAGTAATAAAAGAAAATGGTCAATATTCAAACTAGAGCTTCGGTACATACCTTGGAGTCTCCTGCTGTACATCTCGACTATCCTGGCAAAAACAAAGAAATAAATATAGTGTTAAAAGTAATAGAAAGTTTTGGTATGGGGTCATGAAATTGGTTGGAAGCATATGCAATCCTATAATATTCAGTGATCGTTGTCGTGGTTGAAATCGAGTCTAAAGTCATGAAATTGTAAATAATAAACTCTAGCTGTATGATAAACTGTATAGCTCCCTCTCAAGGTCAATATATTAATTAAGCCATAAAACAATGTTGCTTGACTAAAATCGACCAATTAGCTATTCCCGTTTGGAAATTATATATCACAACTACATATTCTGAGAATTTCATTGTCGCAGCTACCATTGTACGGCCGTAGGCGCTATTTAAAACCCATCAAAATTTACCGGGAGCACCGGTAAATTGTTATATTCATTTTTTTATCGAAAACAGAAGTGTTTTAGGGGCTACATTTTCCAGTGCTTATTATACATCCACATGTGCATCCACAAATATCAAAATTGTAAAGAATCACTATCCACCCAATTTTCAACATTTTCCAAAACTTTGTGTTACCTTTAAACAATACGTGAGGAACACAATCAGAATCAACCTGCCTTGCTACAACCGCAAGCCATATAAGAATATATTTAAGTTGGACGCAAAATCCACTCGAAAAAAAAATACTCAAGGGTTACTAAAAGTGCAAAATAGGAAATGACATAAAATTACCAATGCACATAGATACAACATGAGAAGGAAAGGAGTTATAAAATTAGGGAAATGATTAATTGACAGATCCAGTTTTTAGATCTTTAAACAAACAAAAATGTCAGTGTATTTATTATCTAAACTTTTGTTGAATATCAACTATCTTAAACGCGTATAGCAGAGTACAACATATTTACAGTACAATGAAATGAGAATAATGATGTTTTAAAATATATTAACAAATCTCAACTTGCACTGCATAACTCTAAGTGGGCAACCACACGTTTACCTACATACAAACTACTGTGAAACATCAAGTTTTGATGACTATGTCTTGTATTATTTCATGACGTGAAGTATGCGATGCGTGGATCAAAACTACAATAAATTTGAGTATCGTCTGCATAAAGATGTTACTGGAGACCATGGCGTTTGATGATATCTCCAACAGGTCGGATGTACACCGTGAAGAGCAGAGGCCCGAGGACTGAGCCCTGTGGAACGCCGTATCATGTGTAATGAATATTTCCCCTTCACATAGTCACGTGAGGAACGTCCAGTGAGATGCGATATAAACCATTGAAGGGCTGTTTTCTTTACTCGAGTCGGAAATCTTGACAGCAGAATACAATGATATTATAATGGTGTCAAATAATTCCTTTGATATATGCTCCAATGTAAGTTTTCCGTTTCCAGGATCGCCATTAAGTATCATTTTTGCAATTTAACCATTACAGATAAAGCGTCTTTCTTTATTTCTGTCTATTTCTCTTCAACATACTTCTTCAAAAAAGTGGATGGGGGGGGGGGGGAGGGGGGTGTAAGGTCATTTTTTGGGTCACCCTTTAGCACACACAATAAAAACATTTTAATTTTTTTTTTTTTAATTAAAACAAAAGTCCCGAGTCCCGCCGTTCTGCGGGTCCTGCTTTATGTGTTTTTGTGTTGGCGGGTGACGTACAGGCCTTAAAATAAGTTTACATAAGGAAAAGTTGTGATCAACCCTTTGTGATAAAAAACATATTTCAAGACCGTCAATACTACTGGGCCAGAAGGGATTAGACCACACAGCAAGGTCACTGACAAGTGGCTATCTTATTAACTCAGCTCTCAACTAACATAAGAAAAAGAGGATCATGGGGGACCAACAGGCACCGATTGGGGAAGTTTTCTATATAGAGGGAGCAAGTAGCTACAAGTAGGACAGTGGGGTTTAATGCTGCAGGTAACTATATATGCGGGTGACGTACAGGCCTTTAAATAAGTTTACATGAGGAAAAGTTGTGGTCAACCCTTTGTGATAAAAATATATTTAATACCTTGCTATTTTGCTTAATCCGAGCACACTCTTTTTGGGTAGATAACCAACAGAAACCTGAGAATAAAAAAATCATACAAAAAACTTAAACAAAATACGAAAATAAAAAGAAGAAGAAAACATTCTAAGCATTGACAACGCGAATTTATTTACGTCACAAATACTTTGGACTTTGGATAAAAAAAAACAATCATACTCACAATTTTTGGTAATTTTGGTTTTCGGTTCAATAGAACAATGCCTCCGTCTTATACAGAATTGCGATTGGTCGAACTTAATCGCAAGTTTGCAGTCTCTTATCTCTTATATACATACTTGCGATTTATATCAATCGCAAATAAGTGGCGATTAATATAAATATTAATATATAACTATTCATATGATGGGGCCCAGGACTTCAAATACTATATAGCTCAACGTTTTACTCTCAAATGTTTCCTTGCCTGTCAGCACATGCAAATGGGAAATGTTTAAATAAGATTGACCCGAAATTTTTCGGGAGGGGGTAGAATGAGGCAATGTTTGAAAATCAGTCTTTCCGGCGTCTAAGCATCCATATCCCGACTCAAGAATTCTATAAATCCACCACCTGATACACCACTGGCGAAATAAATAAACTATGACCTGTATATTGATTAAAAATAGACACATATATTGATTTTATTTGAAGGAAAAGCAAAATCTTCCTTCTCATACAAATTAAAAAAATTAGAATATTCGGTCGCCTTCTTCGGCTCTCTGTACAATCACCCGTCTTTTAAGACACCTAGGTTTGCCTCTTTATAACACGATGTCTTTCTAAAATGAGCTATTTTCGGTCTTGGTTAGCTCCATACAAACCCTCCTAACACTGATATAGATTGCTTTTGCATTGGAAACAGTTAACTGATCTTGAGGTCTTGGTCTATACACTGTGGCGCAAGGAGACTTTTTGTATAGCATAAATTATCATCAGACCTACTCAACGGCTACAGCCCTCGGGCTGAGAGCCCATGAGACAAATGTTGGTCCGAGTGGCCTTCCGAAAATTATCAGGGATTCTTCGAGACAATTGGCCCACTTAACCGACAGCTCGCAAGACCGACAATGCCGGTCTTGGTGTCATTCTAATAAGTTATCTAAGGGTGTACGAGAGCGGCGGCAAACCATCGAGAAAATGTCTGTCTCGCAAGATTTTTAAAAGTGTATCTGAGATATTAGGAGAGCGACGGCCCATGGAAACTGACTTGTTTGTTGATCTCGCAGGCCTTCTGATAAAATAGTTTTCTTATAGTATCTGAGAGAACAACATTGATGTGTCAGTCTCTTGGGTTATCGGTCTGCAGGACCGCCTCTCGATCTACTCACCTTCCCAACAATGGGCAAAAGATGGTGCTCACATAGAGAGAACATCTCGATGCCCCTTACTACAACCATCCCGTCATGGTCAGCCTCAAATATTGCACCATTCAACACATCTGAAATCCAAAATGAATATTGCACCAGAAGATAACATTGTACCACTCAGCATATCAGAAATTCAAAGAAAATATTGTACCACTCAGCATATCAAAAATTCAAAGATAATATTGTACCACTCAACATATCAGAAGTTCAAAGATAATATTGTACCAATCAGCATATCAGAAATTCAAAGAAAATATTGTACCACTCAGCATATCAGAAATTCAAAGATAATATTGTACCCCTCAACATATCAGAAGTTCAAATATAATATTGTACCACTCAGCATATCAGAAATTCAAAGATAATATTGTACCACTCAACATATCAGAAGTTCAAAGATAATATTGTACCAATCAGCATATCAGAAATTCAAAGACAAAATTGTACCATTCAGCATATCCAAAATTTCAAATTTAATATTGTTCCACTCAGCCTATCAGAAATTCAAAGATAATATTGTACCATTCAACATATCAGAAATTCAAAGAAAATATTGTACCATTCAACATATCAGAAGTTCAAAGATAATATTGTACCACTCTGCATATCAGAAATTCGAAGATGATATTGTACCACTCAGTATATCAGAAATTCAAAGAAAATATTGTACCATTCAACATATCAGAAGTTCAAAGATAATATTGTACCACTCTGCATATCAGAAATTCAAAGATGATATCGTACCACTCAGCATATTAGAAAATCAAAGATAATATTATACCACTCAGCATATCTGAAATTCAAAGATAATATTGTACCGCTCAGTATATCAGAAATTCAAAGATAATATTGTACCGCTCAGTATATCAGAAATTCAAAGATAATATTGTACCACTCAACATATTAGAAGTTCAAAGATAATATTGTACCACTCAGCATATCATGAATTCAAAGAAAATATTGTACCGCTCAACATATCAGAAGTTCAAAGATGATATTGTACCACTCAGCATATCAGAAATTCAAAGAAAATATTGTACCACTCCGCATATCATGAATTCAAAGAAAATATTGTACCACTCAGTATATCTGAAATTCAAAGATAATATTGTACCACTCAGCATATCATAATTTCAAAGAAAATATTGTACCACTCAGCATATCAAAAATTCAAAGATAAAATTGTACCACTCAACATCATGAATTCAAAAATAATATTGTACCGCTCAACATATCAGAAGTTCAAAGATAATATTGTACCACTCAGCATATCAGACATTCAAGGATAATATTGCACCAATCAGCACATCTGAGATCCATAACAAAACTCCAGACTCCAGAACCTTGCAGTACACACCAATACTTATTTGATTCATGGTCAACATTTTCTGATCGCTTCCACACCTTTTTCTTTCACAATGCAATCGCATGACCAGGGGGTGTTTCACAAAGATCCTAAGTCAAACTTAACTCTAAATCAGACTTAAAACTCATGGAGAGCCATTTGTAGCATTAAAATAAAGTATTTTTGACTTTTCATAAATTCCAAATCAAGAACATGAAATCCACTTGATAATAGAAAATATGAATGATTTGAATAAAAATTCTATGCCTTTTAAAATAACTTTTACAAAATACTTTCAAAGATGCTAACGGCTTTCCATAATTTTTAAGTCCAACTTAGAGATAAGTTCAACTTAGGATCTTTGTGAAACACTCCCTTGGGCACAAATTTATCTTTAAGAAAGGATTACGTTTCATTATTTAGGATTGTGATAGGTCTTTATGTACCACGTTTCCTTTGAATGTCAGCGACCCGTTTCACAAAGCCTTTTTTTAATGATAAATTACAAAATTCAGTGACAAATCTGCTGATAACCAATCAGTAGCAAGAATTTCAGTAGCTTATAACAATAACTGTCTTCAGTGGCAAATTACAGTTTTTGTGAAACGCCCCCTCCCCCGAAAGATGCAATATTTAAAGCTTATTAGGAAAATATGCTTTTCGTTAAGTCTTCACCGTTCGACATCTTTGAATTTTGCAGTGAGCCGGCCGGATTTACCTTCAATTTGGTCCTGATAGCCTCTGGTAAAGAACATCATGGCCTTCGCCGCTCGATGAGGGGTCTTCTTCAGATCCTCTCTGTCGGGGTCCTCGCCGACAGCTCGAAGGACAGACCGGTAGGCCAGCTCCAAACCGGGTAGCTGCCTTCCAGAATCTCTCCCGTTTGTCTCCGTAGAGGTGTAATCTCCGATGCCATTTTTGTATAAAATACCACCATCCATGGTTAATTTTTCAGTAGATGATGTCGTAAAGTGGACACTTTCCAACGCCGTTCTGTGTGCGGAAAGAGTAGAGCCTACTACAGCTTCAGCTGAAATACTCATGATTGTTGGATATGCTTTCAGATAAGCATTGAAGGAATGAATTGGATCTTTACGCAATAAGCTGGCTTTTAAAGGGGCGTGTTCCCTGTATTCCAGAGGGCGTTCAAAATACGTACGCGCTGGCGGACGGTACTATAGCTGCCAATTGACACCAACAGAATACGGCTCTTACGCAGATGGCATGTTCCGATAACTACACTGGCGGGAACGTGCCCCTTTAATAGAGTTGGGAAACGTGCAGTTCATGGGCGAGGTCCTTGCCCATTTGTGGTAATATATAGTTATTGTGTATACAAAAACTGGCCTAACAACTGAATTATTCATATCCTAACCCAGTTAGAAGATGAGGGTAGAGCTAATTTACTTTGATAATCAAGTGCCATACGGTCTTCCCTGCATATTTACAGACGTAAGGCAATTTTGTAATTTTGCTAGTTAGCCATATGTAGATAATAAAAATAAAAATGTAGGGCTTTGTTTTCGTGTGATAAAATAATATCTTGCTCTCGATATTACAATATTGGACTCATCCAATATTCTCATAACTCGAGCAATATATTCTTGTATCACACTCAAAGCCATCCATCACATTTCACGTTATTCAGTTTTATATATACTACATTTCACATTTTACTTCATTCAGTTTCATATAATGAAATGCATTGATTCACTTAGTTGATGGTAGTAGCTTGTAAATTAACAACTGACTTAATTGAGAAATGAAATTAGTATTACACGTACCGTACTTTTAACCAGTTTTTATTTGTATTTATTTATTCAGTCTTCTTAGAAATACAGGGTAGTCCTTCCAAGGCCGCAAGGCCTGCTTTTCAAGGAAGCCACGTAGGCAAGTGATAGATTACATGGTAAAAATGACTACAACAAAATAAAACACGTACAAAATACATAATACAGACTTATCTACTGCTAGATAAATTAGGTACGTTAACACAAAACACGTTTCATTTTGAAAAGACGAACTACATACAATTCAAGCTTGGTTAAAAAGAGCCAATGCAAGGGCATATAACTATATTTATCAATTAAACAAAACAAGTTCAATTCGATTGATATACTTGCACTGATAAATAAAATCAAACAAGATTTAAAGCACACTAAAAGATACAAATTCATAGTCAGACTGTAGAGTTTTAAAGAAAAGTTTAGCTAAAAAGAAAACGGAGGTTAAAGTGGATTGCACATTAGAAATACTAATAATAATAATAATAATAAGATATTTGTATACCGCAAATTGCAAATTGCCTCTAAGCGGTTTAGAAGAAAATAGCCGATAAGTAAAGAAATACAGTATAACGCAGTATAAATGGCAGTTTAACAAGACTAAAAGATAAAGATACCATCAAACAAGCAAAAGAAACAAAGTCAAACTAGAAATGCAATCGTGTCACAACGATGTGCGTGCAATGACGCCATGTTTCTACGTGTCAAACGAAAGAGCTTCTCTCGGACTATCCAGAGCAATTTGCACGAAGTCTGTAGCTTCTGTGATATTGGAGATAGGTAGGGCGAAAGAAAGGCCTCAACAGTGACCTTGATGGGATGGTAGTGACTATGCCTACGAAGTTTGAAAGAAATTGGGATAGGGGAAAAAACCTAAAAAGGGCTCGCAAGCACTGTGTTAAAAAACCAACGGGATTTGGTGCATGTTCGTCATTGCAATCAAGATCGTTCTGGGGCCAAAAGCGTGAACCCGATATGCCCCATTAACAATGCGTGTAATGAATGGGCGGAAAACGTGCAGGATCTGTATTATGGCCGGAGTTCAATTGTTTTTTCTCTCCCTCTTTACGTCTCTTTATGGGCCGTATTTGGTATCATTAGAAAGAGAATTTCATGGTTGTTATTGTAAACTACTCTCTTTTTTCTATGATAATCCTATCGAAACACGTGATGTAAAATAGATGTATAGGACAAAATGGCGTCTTAAATGGCCCCCTTGACCAATTTCAAAAATCCGGCCAAGAGGTGCCCTGCGTATTGGAACTTGGCATGTCACTGCAAATTTTCAAGGAAAAAAAAGGACGTTTAAGGGGCGAAAAGCAGTCTGAAAAAATGATGTCATAGCCGAAACGTGTTAGGTTCGGGCGGAAACTCGGCGGAATTCGTGTAGTGATCTTTGTTCAAATGCGATTTACTCACAATTTTCTGTGTGAACATATATAATACTTGGTATCATCAATAAGGCAGGACAAGCTGTTCTTGCCTCTAATCTACGCCACTTTATTGAGCGACCTCGAGGGCCACCTACACCTACTCAGCAAACGTCCTACGCTGAAGTTGTTGGATCTTCAACGCAGGATTTCGAGATGATTGCTCCGAGAGGGAGGCTAAAGTCTGCACCTGCTCTTCCAATGTTTCCACTGACAAAAGCTCAACAGGGGTGGAACGAGCATCTACGTCTCGTCATGGCAACATGCAGTTAAACTCTGTCTCTGGTACTGGCATACTACATCATAATCTTCAGGATCAATCTCATGAACTGAATAAGAGTAACATTAAACAGTTGGAAGGTGGTTCAGTTCCTCCGTTTAGAAACAGGGGCTTAAAATTTGCCCATTTGAATATTCATAGCTTAGTTGCTAAGATTGACGAACTTAGATTACTTCTGAGAAATGCATCATTTGATGTTATTGGTTTAAATGAAACATTTTGCGACTCCATGATTGATGATTCTGAATTGTATATAGATGATTATATTTTATTACGTAGAGACCGTACGAGACATGGTGGTGGTGTGGCTGTATATATATCCAAGAGGTTCAATTATAAAAGAAGGGATGATTTGATTTCTTCTACTTTAGAATGCCTTTGGTTTGAATTGCATTATCCAAATAAGTCTCCCATCCTGGTTGGAGAGTTTTACAGACCTCCAAATTCTCACGTTGATTTCTTTGAAGAATTAGACGGAAATTTGGACTCTGCTCTCTCGGAAGATATGAGCTGTATTATTTTAGGTGATTTCAATTGTGATTGTATGCCACACCAACTTGATCTGAATGCTGAAAAGTTAATGTTTTATACAAATATGTACGGGTTAAGTCAGCTAATTGATACTGCCACAAGAGTTACAAATACCTCTTCTACTTTAATTGATTTGATATTTGTATCAGACAAGGAACTTTACAATGAATGGGGAATATTTGAAACTAGCATAAGTGATCATTATTTGGTGTATACGGTTCGCGATTTTAGTGCAAAGATCCATAACAAATCCGAATACGCAGAATTTCGCTCGTTTAAAAATCTTGACGAGGAGAAATTTTACAGTGAATTGAGAAGTACTCCTTGGCAGGTCATAAAAGATATAGATAATGTTGATGTTACGTGGGATATGTGGTTGACTCTATTCAATAATATAATCAACAAGCACATACCAGTATGTAAAAAGCGGATAAGAAAAAAGGCATGTCCATGGATATCTGACGAGATTGTTAAGCTTATGACGGAACGTGATAAAGTTCTCAAAGCTGCTAAAGCTAACAAAAGTGATGATCTTTGGGACACCTACAAATATCTAAAGAATACAGTTATTCATCTCATGAGGAAAAGAAAAAGAGAATATAATGCAGACCAGATATCGCAAAATCATAACAATAGTAAGCAAATGTGGAGATGTTTGAGAAACCTTGTGCCTAAGTCATTACCTATATCTCCCAATAGCATAAATGTTGATGGTGCTAATGTGTCAGACAATGCAAATATTGCTGAAGCTTTTAATGACTTTTTCATTTCTAACGCTACTAAGATTACAAAGGACCTGCGAAGGAATAAGTCTCAACTGAGAGTAGACGAGGACAATAATATTGGTCCAACTCATTCGCAATTTAATTTGAATTTGATTACTGAGGATTTTGTATTGAAACAGATTGATAATCTGAGTATAGATAAAGCAACTGGTGAAGATCACATCAGCTGTAAACTTTTAAAGATGACGAAGAATGTTATCGCAGAGTCTCTTTGTGATATCATTAACAAATCCCTGTCTACAGGAGTTGTTCCACGTGAATGGAAAAAGGCTCGGGTAGTACCAATATTCAAATCTGGAGATATTTCTTCTTTGAATAATTACCGTCCCATTTCGATATTACCTATCGTGAGTAAAATTATAGAAAGGGCCGTCCACCAACAACTCAGTGAATTCTTGGACGTGAATAAATTATTACACCCTAATCAGTCTGGTTTTAGACCTAAACATTCAACAGCTACTGCCCTTGCAAAACTTGTAAATCAATGGTCGTTGAATATTGATAACAAAGAAATTTCTGGAGTTGCCTTCATAGATCTTCGTAAGGCTTTTGATACTGTTGACCATGAGCTACTTCTACATAAACTAGCTTGTATAGGTTGTAGTAATAGGACTATTTATTGGTTCAAATCATATTTAGGGGATCGACAACAAGTGACCCAATTCAAAGGAGCCAAGTCGCATCCATCAACCATCAAATTAGGTGTGCCACAAGGTTCAATTCTTGGTCCCCTTTTATTTTCAATATATGTTAATAGTCTACCTGAATGTACTCCTGAAGGTATCATAGATATGTATGCTGACGATACGACACTTACCGTCAGTGCAAATGATGCAACTGTTGTGGAAGAAAAATTAACTGTTGCGTTAAACAGAGTCATGGCATGGATTAAGGAAAATCGTCTTGTTCTTAACACTGAAAAAACTTGTGTCATGTTAATAGGCTCTCCTGCTAATCTCAAGAAAATTGAATCTTTCACCATTTCATTAAACGGCAATTTGATCAAAAGAGTTCAATTCACCAAATGCTTAGGACTTTTGATAGATGAAGAATTGAAATGGTCTAAACAAATCGAAAACGTAAGTAAACTTACCCAGAAAAACATTAGCATGATAAAGAGAGCAAAGAGTT